TCAGATCAAGAAGAAGCTGCCACACCTATCACGACCGCAGCCTCGTCTTCTTCAGGACAACGGCCTCCTAGGAAGGGGTCCCGACAGCGTAGACCCCCGAATAACTATACTTCTTCCTAGTTAGTTTTTGTATTTTGTACTTTAAACTTTGCAGACATATTTGTTTTGTATTTAAAACCGTATTTTGGCCTTTTAAGTTTTATATTGTGTTTTTTGAATATTGCATTGTGGTTGATTGTTTTATATATAATGTATGTTGAATTATTTTTTTGCTGAATTGATGTATATGAGTTGGTTGAACATGTGTATATTAAACAGGTTGGTTGATTGAATAGGTTTATATTATTATTAATTTTTTCAAAGAAAAACGTATTCTTCGTATACGTTTTTATCTCAAGATTTAAAAAAAACGTATTCGAAGAATACGTTTAATATTTTCAGAAAATTAATATTAACAAGAAAATATTTTTCAGAAAATTAATATATGGAAACGTATTTGCAAAATACGTTTTCACGAAAACGTATTTGCACTATACGTTTTAAATTTTAATTTTACCAAAAAAACGTATTCCGAACATGCAAAGTTTACTTAAAACGTATTTCGCTCATACGTTTACGTGTGAAAAACGTATTTTTCACATACGTTTTTCCATATGTTAATTAAGATTAATTATCTTAATTACGTTTTCTTAGTAAAACGTATTCGTCGAATGCGTTTATATATTATAAACGTATTCTAGTAATACGTTTTAATGTAGAAACCGTATTCCCGGAATACGTGTGTTTGATTTTTTTCCACCAATTTTTTTTTTTTTAATTTTTGTCTACTTATTTTTTTTTAAAATAAATAATTAATTCAATAAAAAAATGTAAAAAATATGCCATTGATAAACGTGTAAATATGCACACCTCTTAAATCGAAACAGTAGTTTTTGACGGCGTCAATAAAACTAAATGAGGCCTCAGAAATTCCAATCCCCGTTTTTCTGACGGCGTCAGTAAAACTCCATGCGCCCTTAACCCAAAATCCCGCGAAAAGATAAAATGGTTGAAAAGTTAGATAATTAAAAAAAAAAAAAAAACACTTTTTTTTTTCTGGTACGAAAAATTGAAAAGGTCGGATAAGGACCATAATAGATTTCCTGAATCTCAACAGTATTTCGCTTTTTTATTTAATAAAATCACATATCACAAGATTTGTTTTTTTTTTTAAAAAAAAAAACAAAAATCCTAAGCCAAAAGATAATTAATTTTAACTGTTAGGCGTGTCGACCTTCATAATTTCGAATAAAACTTTTATAATATAATATATTTATTTACGTTATCTTTTATTTATACGTACATATATTGAAAATATATGATCGTATAACAGTCAGGTCTGCGTAACAATAGTCTGACTAGTCGTGCACATATATATTCTCTATATATACACATTTTTTTCTTCATGTTACACAAAAAAAAAAAAATATAAAAACTTGGGCTTTGCTTCATTTGGGATTTTCTTGAAAAAAATAAAAAATAAAAAATGTCAATGAATATTGGTAGTATTATTTCAAGATTAGATGACATGGCTCCACTTGTTGATTCTCATGAGATTCATGTTCTTGCTGTGGATGATAGTCTTGTTGATAGGAAAGTCATTGAGAAGCTCCTCAAAATCATTTCTTGTAAAGGTAATTCTTTCATTTTTTTTTTTTATGTATTTATTTTGTGTTATATATTGAGCAAATTATTATTATTATTATTATTATTATTATTATTATTATTATTATTATTATTATTATTATTATTATTATTATTATTATTATTATTATTATTATTATTATTATTATTATTTTGCAGTGACAGCAGTTGATAGTGGGAGAAAGGCTTTGCAGATTTTAGGATTGGATGGAGAAGAAAATTTGGTTGATTGTGATGTAAGTTCTTAATTAATTATTATTTTCAATTATTTCATTTTTTATAAACTATATTTATTTATTTATTTATTTATTTATTCAATTTAACTATTATTGTTGGTTAAAATGATATATTTTTTTTTTTTTTGGGTATACATTGATCATTTTGGTTTTTCAGGGCTTCAAAGTAGATCTGATAATTACAGACTATTTCATGCCTGGTATGAATGGCTATGAGTTGCTGAAAAAAATTAAGGTCAGATTAATACATAAATAAATAAATAAATAAAATGGTTAATGAAGTTATGTTAATCACTAAGAGCACCCACAATGCTTTGGGTTTCTTAGAAAAAAGTTACATGCCATGTAAGAAATAGACCTCGTCTATAAAAAAGTGTTCTCCAATGCAATTAAAAGTGGACCTAGTCTAGCTTATGTGGCAATAAAAAAATGAGACCTAGTCCACACTTGGGTCTATTTTAGACCCAAGTACAAACCCAAGCACTCATCATTTATTCCTCATTTAATTTTTCTTTTAATAAATGAAATATACTAGAGCATTTTTATTGGTTGTCATGTATTCTAGACCTAGTACTTTTTTATTTTGCATTGGATAGATTTTGGTTTTTTTAGTTTAGGTTTGTCCATGTCATTATGGACTTAAGTCTATTTATTTGCCACATATACAAAAAGAGACCCAAAGCATTGTGGATGCTCTAACCAAATAAATAAATAAATAAATAAATAAATGTATATAAATATTTAATACTAACTAAAGAGAAATTCTTAATTTTTGTGCATAGGGTTCATCTAATTTTAAAGAAATACCAGTTGTGATCATGTCATCCGAAAACGTTATGACTCGAATTGAAAGGTGATTTAAATTTTGTGTACATTATCAATTTTCCCACTTTTTTTTTTTGTTTTGAGGGTTTTTTTTTTGTTAATTGATGTTAAATATTAATTATTATCAGATGTCTTGAAGAAGGTGCTGAAGATTTCATAGTGAAGCCCGTGAAATTATCCGACGTAATACGACTCAAAAACTACATGTTTCGCGATAAACAGATTATCGACCCAGCTCAAATTCAAGAGCCCGTCAAGGGGAAACCGTATAATTCACTCTAGCCCGGCCCATCTTTGCCGTCCATCTCGCCAAAATCACGCTCGTCTTCCGCTCATTTCCCGGCCCAATTAATCTAGGGTTCCCTCGAGCTTATTTTAATTTGTCACAAAATTATTATTCATTAAGGGGATTTTTTAATTAGCTTGGATGATGTTTATTGATGATTATTAGTAGGAACTATTATATTGTCACTATTATTGTTATCTATACTTATATAAAGAGTCATCTTATTTACTAAAATTAGTAGCAAAAAAATAGGTTAGCATTTAATTCAACTCATAAATAGTAGTTTTATTATTTTTTTTTTTATTTTTTCTTTAAAAATCATACAATAGTATAAAAACGCTTTAATATAATCATAATATTTAATCATACAATTTAATTTATAAAAGTCATACAATTTAATTGTTTTTCTTTAAAAATACGCTTATGTATACTTTTTGTAATAAAATTGAATAAAATGTGTTACTTAAATATCCAAATAATTAAAAATTTCAAATGTTTAAATTAATTGATAAACAATTTATAAATTTTTATGTTATTAACGTATGTAATTTTATTTAAAATAATTTTAAATATACCAAAATTTATTTAGAAAATCGTATCGATCCTACCAGTTCAATCAACTAGTGTTGACGGATTCAATAGCAAATATTTTATTCAAGTGAACTAAACTGATTATAAACTGGTTCTCGGTCCATCCGGTCGGGCTGTGTCCAACACGGTTTAATTTAAAAATGATAGGTAATCTTGATTAATTTATTTGTATATTTAATTTATAAGTAATCTTATTTTCTCGTGCATCCCACGGGTCACACAGCAAATTAAGTGTGAAAATGCAACTGATTGACAAAGGAGCCACGCAAAAGCAATTTCCAATATAGGAAAGTCTATTAATTTGTTGCACTCTTTCTACTACTTTTCTTTAATTATTATGATTACAAGACAATAATCATCATATGCCCAATTAAATTAGACTATAATAATAACACACCGACTTAATTTGTCTCCTTTTAACCCGAATAATAATCATGTCATTTGCACTTTGCTAAACCATATCACATCAAATATTATTGTTATTATTATATAATTTACAATAATGATAATTTAAAATAATTAAATTCTAGTTATTGATTATTGTTAATTAAATTATTATTTTTACACCTTAATGATAATTATTTATAGTTATATATTCATTTAGAAAATATAAATATCTGCTTTCTTTTTTAAATTGACTTATTTCATTTTTTGAATTAGATAACTTTATCCATCTTTTATAGTCAGTTCAGGAGAATAAAAGGTTTATTGGGCCTTTAATGTTGTATCATGAAATTCATGTTACATTAGGACCCAAAATTGGAAGTAACCAATGACGGTCTTTGCCCTGGCCCAATAAAGCTTTGTTATCATTATAACTTTACACAAACTAGTACAGTTGCCCGTGCAAATGCACGGGAGCTACGAAAAAAAATAAAAATAAAAAAACATTTGCAATTCATACAAATGCATAACGATGAAATTTATTGAACACATCATTATATACAACGTTCTTCGTCTTTGAGGTATTTTTATCGTCACATATTTTTTATTCGTGAACATGCGACATAAAGTTGGTCATGCGTAAATACAGAGTTCTTTAGGTATAACATTCATATAAATTACTCTTTCAACAACTAAAATATATATTATATTTTTTATATGAATAAGATATAATTACCGATTCATGCAATAAATATATAGTTATTCAAGTATAATATTCATATAAATTAATTCTCAATAACTTAAATATAACTAATGAGTCCTTACAAAAGGAGTCTTTAGCCAAATCGGTACAACTTTAGAAGTTCGGGAAATTTTCATCTTGAAGTTCACCATAAAATTTATCTTGAATCTTGCTATAGTAGTTTTATATCTGCCGTTTGGTGCTACAATTATAAAGTGTGGACACCAGTGACTTTAAAACGATTGAACAGCACTACGTGAATTTTTTGATCGAGACATGGATTCTATATACATGTAAAACCTTACAAACACAATATTAAGAAATGAAATTAATTAGAATATGTATAATGACTATTTATAAACAAAAATGTCTTAAAAGAATCACCCCACAATCTTGGAATATTAATTCTTTTGATCTTTTTAATCTTGAAAACAGTCATTTCGTAACATCGCATCACACTGACTTTGATACTCCATCCTCTTTTTTTATACATTTTTTACCCGTGTGTAAGAAATTGTTTGAATAAGATGTGATAGAGATGTGAATGTGATTATAAACTACCACATATATATAAAAAAAATGCCGACATGAAAGATTAAGCCCTTCACGATGTAACTTCCAAACTTGTGTATTTTTAACTTCCAACGACTTTAACTTCACGTTTATGGTTTTACTGTATATCTTACTAAATAAAAAATGTCGCCGTGAAAGATTCAAGTCATTCACAATGTAACTTCTAAACGTGTGTATTTTTAACTTCCAACGACTTTAACTTCACTTTTATGGTTTTACTGTATTTTTAACTTCTTAGACCGCCGTGAAAGATTAAAGCCACTCACTGTAACTTCAAACGTGTGTATTTTTAACTTCCACGACTTTAACTTCACTTTGATGGTTTTACTGTATTTTTAACTTCCATATATTAGACGTGTTACTGCGTTATGTTAATGTTTTTTTAAAAAATAAAAATAAAAAATCGCATATTATTTTGGACTTTGTTTAGTATTGTTAAATATGTTTGATTGATTTAGGTATTAAAAAATAATTATTAAATATGTTTGACTGATTTAGGTATTAAAAAATAGTAAGAGTAGAGTAGGATCCACATAAAACTTTCTAAAAATGGCAAGTGAGTTGCCTAATTATATAGTAGATAGATTATTGTGTGTGTGTGTGTGTCTGCCTAACGTTAAGCCGGTCCAGCAATTGTAAGTCTACTTAATCGTTAGGCGAATCGATTAATAGTACATTTTTAATTAAAAAGTATATTAATGTTACAATGACATTTGAATTTACAAATATGTATATTTATTAAAGAAAAAAATACTGATAGCTAACTATTAGCCAGTGTTGTTATACAATTCACTGCATAATATACATTGGCATAACCTCAAGGGATTAAAAAAAATAAAGAACAAATTACTTTACTCTAGATATGGCCACCGGCCTACCCCGCCCGGCCCGCAACCAGCCCAGAACCGGCCGAAACCCAGCGGGTCGATGACCCGGCGGTTCAAGTCCAGTTCAGTGGACCGGTCCATATAAATTCCCGGGCGGTTAAAGGCCATCAATCCGAGGCCCGTTGACCCGGTGGACCGGGCCACGGCCCATGAAATGGCCACGTATACTCTACTCTATACAAATAACTACATCCTAAATTTCTATACGTACATATATACTGAACACCTCAACACTGTCCATTCATTTGACCTCTGTAAGAAGATGGCAAAGGTTTGGCCTTCAAATTGGGCGATTTAATTGACGGTTTAGTCGGAGACTGTTTTACCTCCTGCATAAAATTTGAATTATTCAATTTAAAAAAAAAAAAAGTGTATGTAAAATTATAATCGCCAGAAAGCATATTTTTTTTTTTTTCAATAAATATGCTTGCTTCTAAATTGAAATGACACTTTAAAAAATATATAAACAAAAATATGATATTTCGTAACATAAATATGCATTTTTGTTAAAAAAAATATGACGCGTGAACTCGCTGACTTATACAAGAATTTGTGAAAAGAAAAATACCTTCGATTTTGCTCTAACTGGTCCATTTTCTGCCACTTTGACAATTGATTTTACTTCCAATTTCCTTAAATCGGACAAAAGGAAATAATCAGATCAACACTTAGAGGGCAAAGGTTTGATTTGTTTAACTCTAACTTCCATTTGCAAATAAAACTAACTTCTGATTTTATAAGCCACTACTCACCTAAAGACCAAAGGCTTTGATTTATTTCCTAATGGAGTTTCTTGAGTTGCCCTGCCTTCAGCTTCTCTTTTTGATCTGCAGCAATCAATAAAAGTTTACAATGTTAAACGAAACAAGCCGCTCGTGAGCTCGACTCAATTTGGATTGTTTAGGTAACGAGCCAAGCAGAGCTCGTCTCGTTTAAGGCTCGAAAATAGAAGGTTTTGTATTATTTTCTATAGCTCGGCTCGTTAGTATTGATAAACGAGTCATGATCGAGTTAGTTTATCTGCTCATTTAGATAACGAGCTCCCACAAAGGTTTTTTTTTTTCATAATGTAGAACAGAGCAATGTTTATATTGATGATTTCCAAGAAATTATTGGACTACCTTTTGTTCTCCTTGCTAACAATGAGAGAATTGGATGTTTTCGTCTCGACATTAGCAAGTGTCGCCTGTTGTGATAAATCGGTTAAAACTCCTTGTATCGAAAAACTATGTATATATATAGTTGAGTACTGAAATGCAATAAACAAGTTCATAGCACCCATATGTTAATTAATCATAAACCTGCTTTCGCGTATTGGTGATTTTGTCGGGCGACGAAGGGCCGTTCGTGCGATCTTTCAAAGTCTTGACCGTTCGTTTAGCAAAGTCCTTCTCTCCCATTTTGTCCGTTTTCGAAGACTTTCTATCTATAGGCTGAACAGGCGAAGATTTTCTTGTTGGAGTTGCCTAAATCAATATAAAAGGACCGACCACTAATCATAGCATGAGACGAAAGGTACTATATTTATAGCAATGGAGTGTTCGGAAAAATGCGTACATATATACTTTTTTTCTCCGTATATACTTCGAAAATCTAATAGTCGAATCACAAGGACACATTATAGAGCAAAAATAATTTGTGGTGCTCACCTTTGGATTATGACTTGCGTCAGTTAGCGACCTTTGGACCTTCTTTTCAGATGGTTTGGCTAAAGTCTTTGATGTTGATGTTGGCTTTGGTTGTATAGTAGCGGAAACCGGCACTGCATGTGGCCCAACTTTCTTCTTTGGCACAGTCGAATTTTGTTCCTTTTTCGGAGTTACCTAAGCAATATATGTAAAATGTAATTTACATTTACCGGATGGAGTGAAAATACAAAATCGATGGAGTATTCATTCACCTTTTGGCTTGTTTTTTCTCTTTTGAGAAGATTAGTGGTTTTTCGCAATGGTGACAAGCTTGCCTTGTTTTTCAACAGGGTTTCGGAGGATAAGGTTGTCAATTTTGCCTTTGCATCAACATGTGTCGACAACGGAGTAGAACATGGTACAACTTTCTTCTCGGTCGCACCTAAATTTCGTTCCTTTTTAGTTGGATTTGCCTAAACACAAATGAAATAATTAACCATATTTATATAGCTTGAAGCGGAAGATATAACAATGTCCATAGCATGTCTTTCCAAAGATGCAATTTCGAGCGAGTATTTTACGAGAAAGTTTTAGGATTTTGACGATGGCCGAAGAGTGGTACCTTATTCTTTAATTGTTTCGAGCCGGACAAGGTTGCTAAAGTTGTCGTCTTAGGTCTAGGAGTGGGCGCAGGCAATGCATGTGGTACAACTTTCTTCTCAGCCATGCTCGGGTTTCTTCCCTTTGTTGTTGGAAGTACCTAAACAATAGCACCAGTACACGAAAATCGTTGTATGTAACAAACAATGCAACATGAAAATAGAAGGTTTGCTATTACTAAATTTAGGAAACACAATAGCTTTTAGTGTCTTCAAATGCTAAATTTACATAACTTATCAACAACAATCTAAATTTCGACATCTTTTTCGCTTGTGCTTCTCCATAAACATTGGATTAATTTATGGCGAGACAAAAACCTAAATCATAATATACATTACCTTTTGATCCATTCCACGAGCATTCGACTTAGAATTCCCAGTTTTAGACAGAGTAGATCGCTCGATGCTATTTTTTCTTTCCAAAAGTTTCTCCACCATTTTCGTAGAGCCATTATGAAGAATCTCTTCCTCTAATCTATCGATCAATCTCTTAGGATTTCCCGATTTCGAAAGAGTCGATCTCTTGATGTCATTTTTCCTTTCTGAAGGTTTCTCCATCGCTTTCTCAGAGCCCTTACGAAGAATCTCTTCCCCTAATCTACCACTCAATCTAGGATCCCCTGCTTTTGGCAGAGTCGATCTCTCAACGTCATTTTTTCTTTTCAAAAGTTTCCCCACAGTCTTCTTAGAGCCCTTAGGAAGAATATCTTCCCCTAATCTACCACTCAATCTCTTAGGATTCCCAGTTTTCGGCAGAGTCGACCTCTCGACACCATTTTTCCTTTCTGAAAGTTTCTCCACCATCTTCTTAGTGCCCTTATGAAGAATCTCTTCCCCTAATCTACCACTCAAACTATTAGAATTTTCCGTTTTTGAAAGAGTCGATCTCTCGACGCCCTTTTTCCTTTCTGAAAGTTTCTCCATCGTCTTCTTAGAGCCCTTATCAAGAATCACTTCCCCTAATCTACCACTCAATCTTTTAGAATTCCCTGTTTTTGGCAGAGTTAATCTCTCGATGCCATTTTTCCTTTTCGGAAGTTTCTCCACCATCTTCTTAGAGTCCTTATGAAGAATCTCTTCCCCAAATCTGCCACTCAAACTTTTAGAATTCCCCGTTTTCAACAAAGTCGATCTCTCGACACCGTTTTTCCTTTCCGAAAGTTTATCCACCGCCTTCTTAGAGCCCTTGCGAAGAATCTCTTCCCCTAATCGACCACTCAATCTTTTATAGTTTGATTTGCTATCACCAACCGCTAATCCACGAGACCCGGAACTACGACCTGTCATCTCATTAATAACTTTATCAAACAATCTATCACCGTTAGATAAGCCGATATCTACACCAATCCCCGATGATTTTCGGACGTGATCGCATGTTCTTGGCTCTTCTACGCTCAAATTAGCGTTCGCCGATTTTTCCTTCTCGAGCTCTTTACCTAGCTCAAGCTCCTTGGCTTTTCTAGCCGCGGCGATCTTTTTGTAGTATTCGTCGAAGTAGGCCGCCTTTCGGGCAACCGAGCCGGGTTTCGACAAGCGTACGATTTCGTCTAAATGCTTGTTTGTTGTGAAAAATGACCATTTTTCCCAAGAGGGTGTGTCATTCTCAAATCTGCCAAATGAAATAGACACCTCCATGTGTAAATTGATTAACTTTGTGCACTAAAAACACAAATGAAAAAAAAAAAAGGGATGAAAAGGAAGAAAACAAAATCCAAAGGGGTTTTTGAGTGAATGTTTGTTTAATCTTTCGAACCCCTCTGAAATTTTGTGATCAACAAGAATTGAGTCCATATAATATATGGAAAAAGATAATCAGATTCATCATGAAATGAATCTTTAATAAAAGGAAAAAGAAAAATAAGAAAATACACAACATGAATAAATTATCAAATGCCTATGATGAACAAAAGATTAATGAATGAAAGAGGTCAAAATCAAGAGTCAACGAAGTAGATTGGACCAATAAAAAAATGCCACGTGTCTTTTTTTTTTTTTTTT